CATCTTCGTCGTGTATGTTATCCAGAATTGAATGCAAATCAGAGTATAGCTCACAACTCCGAACAAAAACTGCAAAGTGAGTATATTAGATACCGCCTAATTATGATGCATGACTTCATAGCTCACTTTGCCCAACAAATCATTGTTGATCGTAAGCAATCCGGCAACTCTGAACTCACAAGATTCCTGCCCGAGCTGCGCCGAGATTCGCTGCAATGCGGTATTCAGCTGCTCGTTGCGTCGATCCACCGATACTCCATGGAAAACCGCGCGAAACTTGCGCTGCAGCTGGTCGCAGCGGGTCCAGAACCAACAGGGCACACTCATCTCCAACAGAATGCCCAGCTCCTCCGTGGCACACCCTGAGAGCAGTACTGAATAGATATAGACTTTATCCAGATGCGGCGTCTACGCAGTTACCTACAGATTTGCATTGGAACATTGTCCGTTCGAATTTTGTTCACATAGGCCCAGTAGGGGAGTACCGAGGTGTCTATGAAGAACTTGAGCATCAGCACAATGAGAGCGCGCTCGAAGTATTTCTCGATATCCCGCTGTAAATTCCAGAGCAGAAGGTGAAGCTGCTGCAGACAGGCGATGTGCCTGAGGGGCAAACGGTGCAGGGCCCAGGTATCCCACCGCAAACTCTCTGGCCCTGAAATGACAGTGGAGGCAGCCTCCTCCATCTCCTGGTAGATGGTCAGCACGAGAGCTGAGTGCAATGTGAATTCGCTGCAGCGCAATATGAGCACCACTTGCGAGTAAAAGTTGGCGATGAGCAGCAGCGACTCGTTCGAGTTCGTATTGTTGTAAACTGTTGAGCCCAATAGAATCAAAATGCGGAGCAACAATAAGCAAAAGACTCCGTTCGTGATTAAGCGACTGCGACCGGCGTTGACCTTATGGCCAATTTTCTCATAGAGAACATTTTGTATGTGCAAAAACTGTGCCTCGATGCGACTGCTGCGGCTCTGCCAGATTAATTGAAAGGATATCACGAAGTGGCTGACTGTCAAGGCCACGAAATTGAGTAGGTCAAGCACATACGAAAAGGTATCGTTCAGCCGATCGTACTCCACGTGGTAGTTGAAGGCGATGCGCCAACGCGATATTAGACAGAGATAGACTACCATAGCTCCAGTGTACAGCAGCCTCAGCCTCAGACGATGTGGGCGTGGCGGCACTATAAGCGCCAAGCACATCAGCAGCCGCATGAAGCGCAGTGCCGGACTGTGCTGCTCGAGTGGCACGGAGCACATGACTGAGGAGCATTCGCTTTGGGTTTTTTCGCTCGTCGACTTCAAAATCAATAGCTAATTGGCTAATTGAATTCGATGAGGTGCTGACAGTGCCG